AGGAACTGGAGCAAGTCATATTGATCGGACATCTGCCCGATCGGAATACCTGGGCACGGGGTTAACTCCCGAGTTCAAGAAAAAACTCATTGAATTCCTTATAGCTAACACAAATTGTTTCGTTTGGTCCCATCTCGAAAAAAATCAGAAACTTCTTTCATATAATGTCATTAGAGGGAAAAGTTACTGAGATTCACATTTGAAGTTTGTATACGGGTAAAGACCGAAGGTAAGAAGCGCACTGATTTCCCAGTGGGCGAACGAAGAGAGGACATACCTGCGCATAGCCAAGACCAAGGTCGGGAGTCGCCCGTGTCAAAGCTCAAGCGAAAGACATGCCCCCGGAACAATCGAAGTCATGCCCCCGGAGCCACCAAGGTCATGTCTTCGGAGCCATCAAGATCATGCCCCCAGACCTGATTCGAATAACGTGACCTCGGAAATCATTGTCGAACGACCGCACACGATCCAGAAAGGACCGTGATATCCGTGCCCAACCAGATATCACGGCGTGAACCTCGGAACCGTATCGGTGATAAATCAGTGATTAGCGAGAAGAAAGGGCTTTACCTTTCTTAGAATAGTACTTAGGGTAAAATTCTCCTTTTATATAAAGGGGGAGCTGACTATTCATTGAATACATTGTAACATGCGTATCAAGACAATATATATTTATTTTTCTCTGGTTGTTCAAAGTTCTTGTTCTTGTTCATAGTTCTTCATAAATATTCGGTTCTGAACCGAGGGCAGAACAATCACTTAGCTCATACCCAAGCTCGAACTTAACATTACAACAGGTTTGATTACTTGTTTCTTCATTAATTCGTTTATCTAACATTATTGATCATTTGTATTGGATTAATCCACATATCCTTAAAACTGTGTATAAACTCAATTGTTATTTTTTTTAGGGTAAACAAAGTTACTGTTTAGTATTTGCAGAAATTAAAAAGAATCATCAATAGTATAATAATGTTTGATTTCAAAAACAAAAAAAAGAAGTTTTCCATAAACACTTTCAACACTGTTTAAAACAAAGGCTGAAATTTTCTTCCTAGAAAGCACCATAAATTTGAAGGAAAAAAGGAAAAGACATAAGTACCCCTGAACTAAGGCCGAATTTTAAAATATATAGGGTCCTATTACCCCTCCTCCCCCTCTCGAGCTAGCTATTTTAGAATAGAATTATTTATATCCTAAAGGTTTATGTGGCAGAGTATGTGTATTGCACTCTCCTTGAGAGAGTGAGTAGCAAAAAATTATAATTTTAGTTTATAGAAAAATTACTTTCTTAATTTTTTTGAATTAAATATATAATTCTTACTTTTTCTTTTTTCTTTGTCTTCTTTTCGTTTCGTTTCTTTTCTACTTCATGTCTTCACTGTCCCGTCGAACAAAATTACTCGTCGGTGAATAGTGTTCGATTTGATATGCTACCCTTCTTCCTTTTTCTCTTTCTTTCGCACACAACCACATTTTAAAACGATTTATTCATATGCAAAGCAACACACATATCACCAAAAAAATTTCCCAATGCCGGAATGGAGTTATTAAAATTTTAATCGAAAAACCTTCTTCTAATTAGGGCTGCTTATCGGGTGGATTAGGTGGTTATTTATTCTTAACGGTTTGGCTTATCGGTTATCGGCTTTTAAATGTATTAATTCGCAGCCACCCGATAAGATATCGGGCGGATTGGTATCAGTTTAGCTCTTATCGGGCGGATTATCGGCCTAATTCAATCTATATTGCGTGCATTAATTGTTTACTGACCGCTGACTCAAAATAAAATTCCTATGCTCAGACTACATTCCAGTGTATACTCTATAGAATATAATAGATGAGTCCATGACAAGGGTTCAAGGCCTACTATTCCAACAAACAAACTAAGGTATTCTGCATTCCCCTGCTAAAGTTAACACAACTCATATTGAAATTACATGTCTCAACCGAATGATCTTAGAACCCGAAATTCACCAAACATGTATGTAAACCACAGCTAATCTATAGTGTGAAAAAGTCCTTGCTTCAATAAGTCTTGGCTTTCCAGCACTCCAAGCAAACACAATGGACAGACACCTAGTTGGAGATAGAGTACTGGAAGTGAAAGAAGGGTTTTTGATTATATTAATATATATGGATAAAAGTAAATTTTATATATATATATTCTTAACGGGTTAACGGATTATCCGTTAAGAAAATTAAATAATCCGCCCCCAAACCGATAAGCCGTTAATAAAAAAAATTCAATCCGTTCCCCGTCCGTTAAACCGTTAACCCGATACCAATAAGCAACTAAGCTTTGGTTTCAGTTCGGTTTTCAATTTCGGTTTGATTTTGAATCCAGTAGATACACATATATCACTCACCTTTTAATTATAACAATTATTATTTTTACGCCACCTACAAATACTAGTCAAATCCATCATCACAAACTCCTCTACCACAATAGTCATTTAAAGGTAGCATAGCATAGCAGTAGAAAAAAGGAAAAGGTAGATTAGCAGCTAATTGAAGAACATAAATGAATCTTTTTTGTTCACGTTGGTTGGTAGTGACAGAAGTAATAAAGAAGAGAAAAGAGGAAGGAAAAAAAATGAAGGAAAATATTTTCCTTGAAAAATATTTTTCTGAAAAATTAGTGGTTTTATCACTTATTTTTCCATATTTGATTAGTGAGTGAAAAACTTTTTCCGCAAAATTTTTTTTAGTGTCTGATTAGAGAGTAAAACATATTTCTTTAGAAAAATAAGTTTTTATGCTACTCTCGTCACCCCCTCCCCCTAAATGCTCATGTTTCTTGTTCTCCTCCCCCTCCCTCCCTTCCTCTCTCCTAAATACCCAATGTTTCAGGACTCTATTTTCTTCAATAATCTAATTATTCTTTTAAAACTCACACAAACCCAAAGGAACTAATGTTGAAAATCAAGCTCCATAGCTAAAAAGAAAACACTCCTTTTCTTATTGAAACAAAACAAAATACTCTTTCTACAACATGAAAAGAAAGTACCCATTTTGTTAAAATGAAAAAAAAAAATACTTTTTCAACATCATGAAAATAAAATACTCATTTTATTTAAATGAAAGAAAATACTTTTTTTACATTATGAGATAAAGTATTCATTTTGTTAAGATGAAAGGAAAATAACTCTTTCTACATCATGAAAAAGTACTCATTTTGCTGAGATGAAAAAGAAAGTACTCTATCTACAACAGAAAAAGAAAATACTCATTTTGTTGAAATAAAATAAAATCATTTTTCTACATCATGAAAAGAAAGTATTTATTTTGTTGAGATGAAAAAGAAAATACTTTTTCTATATCATAAAGAAAACACTCATTTTGCTGAAATGAAAAAGAAAGTACTCTATTTACAACATGAAAAGAAAAATACTCATTTTGTTAACATAAAAGAAAATACTTTTTCTCCATAATGAAAAAAATATACTCATTTAGTTGAAATGAAAGAACATACCATTTCTATACCATGAAAAGAATATACTCTTTTTGTTGAAATGAAAGAAAACACCCTATCAACAACATGGAAAAAAGTACTCTAAATAATATTTTTATTTATGGTGGGGGGTCGGGGTAGGGAGGTGGTGGGGGGTAGTGGGGGGTAGGGGTGGGTGGGTTGGGTTAGGTTGGGTGGGATGAGGGATGGGGTGGCGGGGGTTGGTGGAGATGGGAAATAAGATGAGTAATGTTGAAAAAGAGTTTTGGAAAATATTTTCTCTTCTTTTGATATGGAAAATGAGTTAATGAGAAAAAATATTTTTCAAAACATTTAAGCCAACCAAATATGAAAAAATTAAAAGATCTTTTCTAAAAAATATTTTCATTTATACCAAACACACCCTAAATCAAAGAATGAATCTTCACGAACGACTGAAAACTTTAAATGTGAAAACGAATGAAAAATAGAAAATATAATAGGATAAAAATGATAAACGAAAAAGAAATAGAAACAAATTATAAAATTATAAAATAGACACGTGGTAGTGCATGTATTTTATTGCCTACAAAGAATTTGGTTATCCAATTTTAGGGCAATATTTATTCCGTTTTAAAAAGTTGGAGGCAAATGATAAGGTATATAGTTGGAAAACATTCGAATCGGTTTATCGATAAATCGAATCGATTATTTGTTATCGAAATCGAAATCGAAAAAATCAAAACCTTATTGAAACGATAACGATAAGCATATGTACAAATCGATAATCGATAAGTAATTATCGATAAAGGTCAAAATTGAATCGATAAATCGAATGCACACCCCTAGACTGTAGACACTTGTTAAATGAGTAATTATCTATTTGTGTTAGATTAATATAATACAGAATGTATATATATTCCGTCTACTATTTTGGTAAAGCGGCTATACAATATTATTTTCCCTAATCTATACCATTTCCTTTACCCTAAGTCCCTTACCCTATTATTTCATCTACCACATTTAAGGAATGATCATATTTAAAGATCAAGGGAATGAAGTTCAAATTAATGGAAAATAGAATTAGCCGTGATGATTTTTTTTTTTTTTTTTTTTTTTTTTTTTTTTTAATACCGTTGGAGTGTTGGTGGCATACATTTGATCCCTTACTTTAGTTTTGTTGCATGTGCTTGTTGACATAATTTTTATATTATAAATGATGTTCGTCTTATTTTAGCTTCTTTTTGTCCATATTAGTTAGGCGCGTTTATAGCGATATACTTTCCGTGGAATCCCGCAAATTTTCTTATTGGTGTAATCGATAAGCCCCCAAAATCGATAAATCGAAATTGAAAAAATCGAAACCTTATTGAAACAATAACGATAAGCACATGTACAAATCGATAATCGATAAGTAATTATCGATAAGGGTCAAAATCGAATCGATAAATCGAATGCACACCCCTAGAAAAATCAGCCTTAGTTCAGGGTACTTATGTCTTTTCCCACAAAAGCACCATAAATTTGTTTTTCTTGTTCTACATTTTCTTTTTCTTTATTTTTATTTTTGCTTATTCCAAACTGGGCTTTAGCCTTTACATCTATAAATTCCCATCCCTTTGAATCTTTTTATCTTTTCTCATCAATTCAACCCAATCCCCTCTTTCTTGTTGATTCATAATTGTCCGTCCGTCCGTCGAATCTGTGATTGTTTCAGTTGCACTTGAAAAAAACAAACAATTTTTTCTCCGTCAGCCGTTTCATTTTCACAGAGATTAGTCAAATTCTGAAGCGTTCTTGAGACCCATTTTGAAGATCTGGTGTTTTGTTCTTAGTTTCTTAGTATATGGACTATGAACTTTTAGACAGCAGTGGTAAGTCCCGTTAATTGGCTCCAATTCTTGTTCTATTTCCCTAGGTTTAGGGTTTTCCTAATTTCCCTAAACCCCTTTGATTTTCCTCGAATTCGGGGTCTGTAATTATGTACAATTATGTCCTCATTCTATTTAGGTTATTCCGCAAAGGGTTGTATTGTGTAGATTTGTGTTAAGCTCCGCTGGATTACTCTCTGAAAATTAAGGACAAAGAAACTAGGGCTCGGTATGTAGTTGGTTTGTGGCATTGCTTTATTTTGTAGCGTGTTCTTTTTCTTTGTACTTGTTTTTTTGGTTAAGTTTGAATGATTCGATGATTTTTTTTATTCTGTCAATTCATTATGTTATGGCGCGATAACAAGCTAATTTCTTAGAGAGGTTATGTCTTTATATTTGTGAAGAGTACTGATTGTGTGAATATTTTGTTTTAAACTCAGTACATGGCATCTATGATTTTGCTGGAAAGGCAAATCATTATTTTTAACTTATTTTTCCCCTAGAAAAATCAAGTCTTGAAGTTTATACTTTTTTCTTTCTTTTTCCTTCCCTTATATAGTTTTCAAGCATAGGGTTAATTCCTTCCTTTTGTGCCTTTTTCTATTATTCTTTTGCTTTCTTTGCATATAAGAAAGGGGTGGGGGTGGGGGTGGGGTGGGGGGGTTAATTTTGGGAGGGAGCAGCACTTAAATTAAGACCATGCGAACTAATGGATTTTACAGTATGCACTTATTCATTAATGCCTCTTTATTACTTCTTTTCCTTTCATACTCAGAGAGAAAATATTCCTCAAATTTAAACCGCATTAATAGTGTATTATATTGTGCAGATTGTTATGTTCATTCATCTGGTTTTTGGAGGAAATGATTTTATTCTGAATTACTTATAGAGGCTTTCTGTCCTTGTTTTCATTTTCTTTCCTCTTCTTGAGTGTGGATTTAAGTAGTGTCATTAAAAGCCATCACTTCTCCGTTTAAAGTGATGAAGCGATTCGAAGCGAAGTGTTTTTTGGGTGAGGACATGTCTTTTAGAGAAGTATTGCTTCACACAATGATGCACAAAGTGATCCCAACGAGAAGCGAATATTTGAATCTCAACTTTTAGGAGTTGGATTAATATTGGCATAAATTGTATGTTGAAATTAGTTTTTAGTTACAATTTGATCATTAAAGAACTAAATTCATATACTTTTTTAATTCTCCATGTGCATTGCACTTCTTGCTTTGCACTTCAAGCCCGGTTAACCTTGTCATGTTTTTTTGTTGCGCTTTTGTCTTTTAGAAGCATTAGATGTATCGAAATGTGTAGTAAATTCTACTTGCTAGGACTGCCTACTTATTATTTTCTTCTGAAAATGTCCACAGGCTCCAAATATCCAGTTTTTCTTAATCAGTAGCTAACTCGTCAAAAATTAGGGGACGGTAGTAGCTGGGTTTAGGGGGTGGGGGTTGATTAAAAAGATTGTTAACTAAATCTGATGTTTTCTTTCTTAGGTGAGTGCATTTTCACCGATCATGTTATGGCCGGTGTAGCAATGGAGTTAAAATGTGTTTTCAACTGATTATTGTTGTGTCCGCTTTGGAAGCTTTGTTTCTCGTAATTTGGTTACACCATTAAAAAATAAAAAATAGAACCACCAGCAATGAAGAATTTAAAGGGAAGTAAATCTTACTGTTATCAAAATAAAAAGGTGGAAAAAAAGCAAAACGTAAATTGACTTGCAGATGTGAACACTAATGACTTACCTTATAAATTAGTTGACCATTTACTTATTATTATAACAAAATTATTTGGACTTTTCTTCTTTGCAAATGTGGTTTTGCACTATTCTACCTTCAGCTATTTCACGAACTTTTGCCGCTGTGACATGCAATAAAGAAAAAGTTGTTGCCCTTGTTTTGATAAGTAAGGCAAATTTGTTGCCAGTAATGTCTCTTGTCGCATTCGTACTAAAGAACGAGTCGTATGTTTTGTATGTTTATTGTGTTGCTTACAGTGTCTGTGTGGGCCAATCAAAAGATGCACTATTAGCATCTCGGATATTTATCTCGGTGAGGTGTGTTACAATCTCTTTGCATTGCACACATCTGGATTCTTTAGAATCTCTTTTTTTTCTTTCTGAATGAAGGTGGCTGCCGAGTTCTCTTACAGTAATAGGCTAAATTTGATATCATTATATCACTAAAATATAGAGTGACCGATAGTGGGACTATCATTTGCTTAGTTAATGTTTTACCAGAAAGATATGTGGAATCTATTTTTTACATGGCTGTTAACCGACCTTTTTACTTTGTTATTGTTCTTTGGCTGTAAAAAAAAGGGTTGTTAAGCACATCTTGTTTTTAAATAACTTTTCACAGCCTTTTCTTTGGGTGCCTCCACTTCAATGGTGTTTTCCTTCACTGTTTTGCAATTAATGTAGGTACTGATGATGATCTGCCTCTATCACAATATAATAGAGCCCCTGCAGGAAGCATTATCGCTGGAAACGGAAGGTCTAGCATAAGTTCAGCCCCATACCAAAGGATGTATGTTGATATGGAAGCCCAAATTCACAACCTTGAGCAGGAAGCATACGGTGCAATCCTTCGAGCTTTCAAAGCACAGTCTGATGCTCTTACATGGGTATATAACTTTTACATTATGTGTGTTTGCTCTCTATAGCATTTTTTTGAGTAGGCACTTATGCTTTCCAGCATCTATAATTCTCAGGAAAAGGAAAGCTTGATAACAGAACTCAGGAAAGAGCTAAGAGTATCAGATGATGAGCACAGAGACCTACTAACCAAGGTCAATGCAGATAACCTCATTCATAGGATCAGGGAATGGAGAAAGAATATGGGAAACCAACCTGTTCATGAACAACTCCCTAGTCCAACGGTTTCTGGATCAAGAAAGAGGCCTAAAGTGTCACAGTCTGTGATAATGCCATTTGGTGCCACATCCGAGTCATTGCACCATCAGACAATTGGTGCAAGCACACAACCTACAACTCCAGGCGCAAAATGGGGAGTAGCACCAGGAAATGGAGGATTGAGGTCTAGACCTGTATGTTTCTTGATTACTAATGGAGCTTTGTTCCTGTAGTCAAAGATATGGATATCAATGTATATTTGAAAAGTTTAATGCGTTCTATCTATTCAATAGGGTCAACCAGTTTTCTCCTCAAAGCCCATTCATTATCAACAGGCTGGTCCTGGTTCTTCAGGTGCTCTTCGTTCAGGTGAACTTGCTGAAAGACCAGGTGACTCCTTCCTTGGGAGAAGAGTGATGACTAGGTGGCCAGATGACAACAACTTCTATGAGGCCATTATAACTAAATACAACGCTGTCGATGTACGTTCTGAATTTAATTAGTGTTTTTGGGGTTATGCAATGTTCATAAATGGCGGGAGGGTGCAAATTATCTGTCAGCATACTTATCAGAAAGGATCATGCTTTCAGAGTGTCACTAGCTGCCAATGTGATTCACTTTGCCTGCTTTCTTGCTTTTTATAGAACAATGGTACACTAGTACCTGCCATGTTTATACGAGAAAAATAGATGGTAGCAATGCTCCCTTAGTGTGATATTCAACTAGGAGTATTTTCTTAGTTTTTCTACGTGGTGCTCTCATAATTGGACATACTTCACTCCTTGGGAGAGAGATGTATTACCTATTCTTTAACCTCAACATTTTTTATATATATATATGTGTGTGTGTGTGTGTGTGTGGGTGTGTGGGTGGGTGGGTGTGGAGGGAGAGGGAGAGGGAGAGGTAATGGGTTCTTGAATTTCTCTAGTTTGCTAATTTTCTTGTATGTAAATTTTTATCATTCCTTTATCCTTAATTTGATTTTTCTAGATAGGATTTTTCACAATTCTTGCTATTGCCTTAACCTTTTCTTTTTTGGGGTAGGGGGTTGGGAGCAGCGGGGAGACACGTTGACTGAAGGGGTTGTACTGAATTTCGCTGGAAAATTATGCTGAATATATAGGTGAAATTTTGTGTGTGTATATATATAAATTGTTAAATCCCTAGATACAAGAGAACATTTTTCTGAATTCTCTTGATGAAATTCCTGCCTTTGCCACTGGTTCCTACCCTTTGCTTTATAAATGTTTAGTGCAAGCTCCTTGTGATTTGGCAAATTCTTTTCTGGAAATCTGACAATGTTGCTTTTAGATTCTAATAGAAGGTTTTTTTTTGGGTTCTGTTAAAACGAAGATAGTGGGGGATTAATATAGCAAAATATGACTATAGATGCTCTGTTCCATGGACTAGATACAGGTTTAAAAAAAAAATTAAAGGTGCTATAGGGTTTGCCTGACTTTTAGAGTACCAAAGTAAACTGTTGCACCATGAATTGTAAAGTCTTCTGACTTGCATTTTCTTTGTCTAGGGTCGGCATGCTTTGGTGTATGATATTGCTACACCAAATGAGACCTGGGAATGGGTTGATCTCAAAGAGGTATTCTCTTTTGTTAATTAATTGGCTGCCTTCCTGCTTCATGTGTGATACATGTAAATTTGGTCCTTAGAAGAGTCATTATCTTGAATTCTTTTGATATATGAATTTAGTACAAATAATTTTATACTGTTCGGATGGCAAATTGGTCATTTTTAATCTTGTAAAGTCTAATTGTTGAATCTTCTGCAAAATAACGATTCTAATCGGTGGATTGACTTATAGAGAACTAGAACTTGCACTTCTTGGGTGGCCTTGCAGCCTTATATAGGTGCCATTTGTGGGGTTTTTTTTGAGATGTTTGCTTAGGTTCCACACTTTTAGCCCTCTGTTGGATAAATTTGTATATATCTCTGCTTCATGATTAATGCAACAATGTATTTCTTGCTCTATCAGGACCTTTACGTAATTCTTATGTTATTTCCCTTATGGTTTATGTAGGATCTTTAATTGTTTTCTGCTTCAAACTTGTTGAGAAAATATAGTTAATAATTATTAGCGCCAAAGGACATTATATCTTTCCAAAGAGAAGAGGTGTGAAGGACATTGATACTATAATATAGCATTTTGAACATGGAGGACATTAGGCAATAGATTAGTGAAATTACTTTGTTATTACCTTAAAATGCAGATTCCCTCCAATGATATTCGATGGGTAGGTGATGACCCTGGAATTTCTCAAGTTGGTGGAGGTGGTGGGCCAGGCTATGGAGTTAATACTCTAAGTGCGGGAAGAGGGAGGAGATTTGCTAGGCAACAATTTGAGAATGATGTTCACGCATCACAAAACGGAATTGTACAGAAGACTCCAGATGAAATTGAGATACTACACACAGAAACGTTGTTAAAGAAGGTACAACACTGTGTGGATCTTGGTCAACTAAATGACTCATAGATAACAAATACATAATACATCATTTTTAAAGTCTTTTTTTTTTCTTTTTCCTTGTCGAGCTATCAGGTTGAGAAGGTTATAGATGCAAGTCACCCTGATCTGCTTGAGATTGAAAAGGCTAAGAAAATGCTCAAGGTAGAATTAGTTCAACAGTTCCTTTAGCCTATATTTGTTTATTCTGACGTCTGAAACCTGATTATAATTTTTTGACCTGACAGGAACATGAACAAGCTCTAGTTGATGTGATTGCCAAGCTTGCGGATGTTTGTGACAGTGGAAGTGGTATGAGATAATTACGGTTTAGGTTATTCTCTTAGAATCTTTGTTAATCATGGAAACTTGTATAGAATCGATCTGGCTTTTGTCTGGTAGTTTCTTGTTCTACTATGTTCTGTGTGATAGAGCTTCTTCTATATCGCCATTTTCTGAAGGGGGAGGGTTCCTGGAAAATAAGTTCAGACACTTCTGTTATTCCAACTCTGAGGGAGTTCGCTATTACATATTGTTTTCCCGACTCTACATTATGGTGGAGTTTATTTCAAAAACTGGTCAATGTTTTTGCGGAAATATGCAGAACTTCTAAGATAAAAAAGTCTGACAAAATGCTATTTAGAACGTTTAAGTTTTCCGCAAAACCCAAAAACCCCTCTAAATATGTTTTTCAGAAAAACTTATCTTCTTATAGTGTTTGGTTGGAAAAAGATTTCGAAAAACTTCTAGAGTGTTTTTTTAAAAAAAAATCAACATGTTTTGAAAACAAACCTGGTACAATACATTTTTTATTCCAGGTTCCGATAATTTCCCAAACAGACATTTGGGTTTGCGTTATGCAACTTACGTCTTCTCAAAAGTTCTGGTAAATTCTTCAGTCATGGCAACAAGTTTACCCGTGTTCACCTCTATGAAACTCGATACAGCTTTTACCAGAATGTCCTGCTAGTTCTGACCGAGGCCACTAAAGAATTGGATTATAATGTTGTGCAAAAACTAGTATTATTGTAATTTCACAAAAAAAGAGTTCTGTGGTCTTGAAACCTTTGGCGAACAAAAGTGTGTCCTAAAAGAATTACACATTAGACCCCATCATATTTGCATAATCGCATTTCCAGTAGATTGTTGTAAATATGTGATGATGTATCAATGGAGACTATACTTTGATTCAACTGTTGAATGCAGTAGCAATTACCAAATAGTTTTTGCTTGATTCTGAAAAGCACATGCACATCTTCTAATTCCACTTTTTTCGTGGTTATACTTTATATGATCAGGTGGGGAGCAGCCCTCCTTTCCTATAAATTATCCACATGGGAGCAATCATGATGGTGACGATATGGAGCCTGAGACAAGGGGAAGATCTCTAGCTAACGAAACAGCAAGAGGTCAAGGCGCACCGGAAAATCAGCAAGATGAGGATGTCATCGTTATTTAGTTCAATTTCCTTCTCATAACAGCAACATTTGTACTGTCTGTGTAGGATTCTGGAGCTACTAAACTTCGTATTTCAGCTTGATTTTATGGTAGAAATGGATTCAAGTGCCATAGTTGCATTTGTTAATCTTGTAAGACGATGTAGAGTTCTCTTTGTATGTTCTATTTCAGTAACTTTTAGCCGTGCTGCTACAATGGACTCCTTCCTCCACTGAATAAAGCTGTTTCTGTTTTATTTTCCTTTCCCAAGTACCTTCTTATAATGGTAGTGTTCATGCCAGTTTGCGCTCCATTATTTTATTTTACTGAATAACTGTTATCTGTCACTAATACAAGTCCCGGATATTCTACCCACCAAAGTTGTTGAGATATATAAGAATAGATCATTTAACATCTTTTGACTATGTTGGGGATTTGAACTTAGTTCCCATGATTTTTAGAGCACTAGACTAACCCTTGGGTGTTACCCCAACCCCCCCACCCCCACCCCCACCCCAAAATATTGACCATTGAAATGTGCCAAAGAATACCAAACTGTTGCAAAGGCATTGCATGTATTTCAGAAATAACTTAATGCACACATGAGAATCATAATGTGGTAATGAATTCCAGAATCAGGTTCACCATATCAGAATCAAAAGCAGGCCCCTCCATCTGAAAATGGCTAGCTCCTTCAATAAGATGGGTTGTGTTATGCCCTGCAGCATCTTTCAACCTGTTCTCCAACTGTTTAACACTGGTGAACCCATCCTTAGTACCCATCACAAATAGTTTTGGTTTTGGGGATTGTAGTATCGCCTTTTGGTGCCTCCCAAAGAGAATTGAAGCAGTAAAACCAAAAGGATATCCCAAGCTCACATAGGCAACTACTTCCTCTACTTGATCAACTGCAGATCCAGCTATTGCTGCTCCTGTTTTCAGGGAAGAGAAATTCAACCATTGAAAACACACACTACTGAAGTCCTATTTCACTTATTGAGGCTCGATTTTGGACTTAAGTTGGACTCAAAACAAATTTCTTTTGGGAACAAAATTCAGACATGCGATAACCCCATGAGGTTCAAGATGCAGTTTTCTTTTACGATTTCAAAGTGACAACAAAAGTGTATTCACAGATAGATAGTCGGAACAATATGAAACACGCTAACTTTCCATTTTCCCAATTCAAAAGTATGATATGAAGTCTTCGAAATCACGGTGTTTGCTGGTAGGAAAATGCAACAAGACAACCATTTAAAAACAAAGTAGAACTAAGAACACAGCAATGAAACATAAGCAAACTGGACCAAAGAGCTGAGAACCTATATAAATTGTAATAGGATCTTAAGATTTGAGATTTTCTAGTGCTAAATCAGTTTATATCAAATATTATTTCCTCTCCTCCAGCTTCAAGTGTCTCTTTTGGAGTTCACATCAAACAGTAGTAATTTCTCTTCAAAGAATTTTTTGCGGGTACTCTCGAGTGATCCACCCTGTCCACCAAAGTTCAGGCAGATGACCTCATCCGAGGGTTTAATTTTGGATCTTCAAGTTTTAATTTCTCCTATGCCTAAATCACATGGTCATCCTTCAAGAATAAGTTTTATGTGGAATCACGCGCAAATACAATAGAAAATTCCAAATATAGCACTTGAAAAGTCAATTTTGAAAATTAAACAACTTCACTCTTTTTGGTGTAATATTAATCCGTTGTCTTCTCGTTGTTGCCTTCCTTCCTTAACAGAGTTCTAATACGAAAGTAATTTTAAATCACAGTCATAAGTTTGGACCTTTCCATCAAAAATTTGGATACCAATTTAGCTTTGGAGCTCCGGCAAATACGAAAACATTTGCTTATGGCAAAAATATGAATGGGCAGAGGAATGACAAAAATGAGCAATTTCACTAATACACGGACAAATTGGACTTTTACCCTAAAAAGTTAAAAAAAGGAAAACGAATCATCAAACGAAGCAAGGATTAGAAACATAGAATATCGAACTGACCTGCAGAAGAACCAACAAGGATAATTTTCCTCGTTGAGAAATTAGTAACAGCCCATTTGCAAATGGAGATAACATCGTTAATTTCAGCGGATCCAGTGAGGGAAGCACGCCCACTGGATTTCCCAGCACCTCTACTGTCAAAAGTTACAGCAATTACTCCTCGATTAGATAATCCTCTGGCTATGCCTCTCATCAACGCTTGACATCCGCCTAGCACGGAATAAGGATGCACCAACACTGCCACTACAACGTTGTCTGTGGAATTGTTGTCGGAGATTGGGTGGTAAACTCGAGCGTCCAAAGTCACACCGTCGGTGCTCTCAATGGTACAACTGGTTCTGCTGTTGGTACTACCTTGATCAGCCATGGATTAGGGATTAACTGAGGGGAATTGTTGGATGCTAATACGCTTGGGTTTTGGGGAAGAATCAAGTGGAAAATGATGATTGGATTTTGGGAAAGAATTAATGAGACTTTAGATTGGTTGGTTGGGCCGTTGGAGGAGTACGTGACTTTCTATACTTTGAGAAATAAATGCTGAAAATTTCTTTTTCTTTTTTTTGGCACTAAATAATGTCCCTCCCATTAACGATTTTCTACTGTGTAAAATTAGTCTAATTTGGCTGATATTGTGAAGTCACATAGAAGTATATGAACATCTTTCAATTGTTCAAAAGCATGTTTGGACATTTATTTCAGTGTAATTCCACAAGTATAATTTGAAGAGAATAGTGTGTACGTAAACTTAATCCCTATCATGTGAAGGTAAAGAGGCTGTTTCTAATACTCAGCTCAAAGAAAGTATGGTCACAACAAATATGACAAAGAAATACGGAACTGGAGAAGCTATAGAAAGAGAAGTAGTAACGACAACCATCAAAATAAGATAGCCGAATCAAAGTAGACAACATGTAATAACAACATCGAAGAATGGGTAACTTTCTGAAATGTTTTCTTATCATAATTTTGTAATACATGAAAACTTGAGATTAAAGAGAGACTCTAACCACTCCCTACAACTAAGACTAACCTACTTACGTACACTTTTCCAGGTATGACCTTATCACCATCTGATGCCATGGAGCCTTTTCACCATATTTCACCGGAACCCCAGATAATCCCTCCACCATAAGGGATCTAATGGTGGAAGATCTTATCCCTCCTAAACAATCCTTCAAGGATGCACTTGAGGATAGGAGGTTAGCCACCGTAAGTACTTATAACTCTGACTATCACCCAACAGATACACCACCGGAACCACCAACGACTAACAATCCCATTGCTCTAACTCAAGAAGATAAAACAAGATTGTACCATCCCTGGCGTTTCTCCGTCATTGTCAAACTATTCGCTAGACGGATTCCACACCTAACACTCAAAACCAAACTATACGAGCTGTGGAAACCAGAGGAAAACCTCATCCAAATTGACCTAGGATGAGACCTTTTCACTGTTAGATTCAATTTAGAAGGTAGCATGACCAAGGCCCTTCATGGTGGCCCGTGGTTCATATATGGTCAGTTTCTAACAATGCGTAGATGGCAAAATTTGACGAGCGCAAAACACACACTTGAATTATGCTTGCTACTCAAATATAGTATAATATAATGTCGTATCCACACAGATTGGATTTAAACAGTATTCTTCTAGTTTCTAGCTTGATTGCTATCCAAGAGGATCAATGGTAGAGATTTATATGATTATTAACTAAAAGTAACTAAGAATCTAAAGCTATTGACTATTGACTATCGAAACAAGGAATAAGCAAATAAGGTTATCAGTGGGAGAAGATAGGGTTTTGACTGGATAGGTGCACGATAATTGTTCAGGATCTAACTCTAGTTAATTCACTTCTAATATTCAAGTGAGTCACTCCAATTTACTCAATTATTAGTTGAAACGTTCAGCAGAAACTCCTCTCTCGATTAAGTCTCACCTAATAAGAAACCAAATTAAGCTCTGTGAAGATATGCAAGAATGCGTAGTGGAATGGTCTTTAGGAAAACCTCTTTTGACTATTCTCCTAACTAGGTTTAATCAATGACTCAACTAGCCTCTTTCGATTACTTAGAAGAATCTATGAATTCAACCCACAATACAATGCAAATATATCACAAGTTATGCCTCTCTCGGTTACATAAACTAGTGAATATAGATACAACAATTAAACAACCAATAAATGCAAAACACTGCTGCGGCACACCATGCGCCGCCCCATGCGCCGCAACAGTGCAAATTCCTCAGAGTGTTGCTTCTTTCTTGATTTTTGATGTCCAGACGTGGTCCTTGACCGCCGAACACGATCCCGGCTTAATCCTTTGGGCTTTTACTCAGACTTCAGAACTCCAAATAGCTCAAATTAGCTCCAAAAGATCTACATAACTTGAAATCACTCCTACAATGCATAAAATACACAATAAGTGCAAAACACTGCCAATTAAAGCTCAACACAAGTAAAGTGCAATGAATTAGAGTGAAATAAGCGACTAAAATACTAGATTATAGCCTACCATCAAGATGGGAACCAAACTTCGTCCCTAGCGCAACCCTCCTAACCTCCTCATTCTTAAGAGGCAAGTATGCTAGACTATAAATATAGTTCCATTGGAATCACCAGACATCACGTCAGTCACAATTGGCTCCCACACACAACCAATTGTTTATGAAGGCGTATGCATCATGTGCATAGGCTGTGGGAGAATTGGTCATACCACCAGTAGATGCAACTACCAAACAATACCACTCACAAATCAATCGAACAAATACCCATTGCATCAACCAAACAAGGATGAAGATGAGTGGCAAAAAGTAAGATTTCACAAAAATAAAAAGGTCAGCAACGGACCACCACCACACACCAAGAATCTAACAAATAGGCTAAAGGAATCTAGGTAAAGATGTTTGATGCTGCAACAGGTAAGTTCCTAAATACCCAAACCTTTAAATACCAGGAAAAATCCACGCCTCTTATAGAAAATGGAAAGGGGAATCAAACAGGTAAGAAAAAATTTAGCACTTCCCGAACCCCCACCCTACTATTCTGTATAACTCTCTGACACAACCCCTGATAAAAAAAAGAATCAAATCCCTCCTCATCCTATAGGAATAAATACCCACCCCAACAAAGAAAACCTCACTACCAAATCCAAATACCCACTGTGGAGCCTACCAAAGACAACTGGCCCAAATATTGGCCCCTAGAGGCCACACGCGCAGGCACATACCCACACACGAGGACCACACCTCCACCCTCCACCCCCTCTCAGCTCTCTCCTCTTCCCTTACTATATCTACCAAATCTGGCACTAGTATTAGGCCCAAATATTTACCAAGTCGGCTACCTATAACAGGTAATCATCATACTGAAATAGATAAAGTGACACCTATCGTCTCTTCAAATAGAGCCTGACAACGGAAGAAATTTTCCTTCCCCAATGCATTCAAGGGAAGTAACCCTTTTATTATCACTTTGGGTAATAACCTTCCCACCATAATATCCCATACTTCCGATAACAACAATGACAACCACCACTGCCAAACCAAGAAAAAATAGAGGAGGAGCCAATACCCCCTTTGACACTGGTATCGCACCCCTCCCACCAAATCCGACTCCAGGATCGTGGATGGAAAATGGATATACAGGGACAAAGCAAAAACCTTCAACCTAAAGGTCAACTCAGTCCTAGTAGCAAGATCCACTCTTCCTATCCCAATCCATAACGGCGATCCTAAACCACGGCCTAGAAAGCTTTGGCCACCAACTCTGGCTAACAACTCTCCTCCAAGCCCAGTACTCGGGCGGGACAAGGAGCATGTCAATGAAGGATTTCAACACGCTGAAGAGCCAAGTGTGTCAGACCATGCTGTTCTTCCCCAAATTCAATGTGGAGAAACCACCGAAAACCCCCGCTTTTGTCCTCTGGCCCCCAACATCGATCCCAGAAATGGGGCCGTGATGTCTCCATCGGTAGCATCAACTCTAATGGCACCGACGGAGGCCATAAATTAGTGCTCCAACAGACAATGGACTTCCACAAGGAGTCAAACTTGGAGCTGGAGGAAACGCTAGCAAACCTAGGGGTCCCAAAAACTACTGTCATCTTGTTGGAAAGGAGACAGAGGATAAAGTTCAAAGAGCGACTCAATGAAATGCTTATTGCGCTTTGTCCAAAAAGTCTGTCAAACTGCAGCCTAGAACTCCAAGTGCCCTTATTGCCAAACTTAGAATACTCCACATCCCTGTTACAACTAATCTTAGGGAGGGAGAGCCTGATGGCATTGGCCAAGGGGAAAAGGAAGGGTGTCAAGAGGAAGACACCACACCATCAGAAGCTCCTAATGAATTTTATCATATGGAATGCTAAGGGTGCCAAGAATGCCGAATTTAGGAGACACTGCTCCTCCATGGTCAAACTCCACAACCCAGCGATACTTGTCCTCCTTGAGACTCGTATGGCTGACCACAAGCACCTTACCAATGAGCTATAGTTTAATGCCTATTTCCAATTTCCTGCCACAGGCCAATCCGGTGGTATAGAAGTCATGTGGAAAGAAGACCTCATCAATCTTGAGGAGGTATCCACAACCCCCCAAGGTGTTCATGTCATGGTTAAGGTACATTCCCCTCCCAACTTCTTCCTTTTTAGTACCATTTATACTGGCAACATCTTTAGTGATAGGATAAAGATCTGGGATCACTTGGTAAACATAGCATCTAATTTTAAAGGTATCTGGTCAGTAGGGGTGACTTCAATAAGGTCCTCAAAGCTAGGGACAAGTTTGGTGGCAATAACATTAGTGCTAGTAGCAAACTACTTTTGGAACTATATCAATAAGTGTAACTTGATTGAATTAGGGTTCAAAGGCAGTAAGTACACTTAGAGCAATAAATATACTCTAATAGATAAAGCCTCATCCTGTAAAGACTAGATAGATGCCCCACTAGTGACTGGATTGGACTATACCCTGATGCCACTGTCATCCACCTTCCTAGAACTCACTCTGATCATTGCCCTTTGTTACTTTCCCTCTACAATATCTAAACCCACCATGACAGGCCATTTAGATTTGAAACCATGTGGTGCGGTCACCCTGATCTACCCCTAATTGTAAGGCCCCATAAAATTTTGCCAAGGAATTTAAGGTTGTATGGTGCTGGAGTAGGCTAACAAGTTGGAAGGTTAAGATAATTTTTGCTGCGAGCTTACGAGCTGTGGTACGAACTTTTTGGGTTGTACAGTGCACTAAGGAGTTGATGGAAAATTTCGCAGAAGAAGACAATTCTGCGGTCAGTTTCGCAAATGAAGATCTATTCTGCGGGTCACATACCCATCGCGGAGTTGAACAGAAGAAGTTAAATTTTGAAGGTTGTTTTGTGGTCCATTAGGCAACCGCATTACGCGAATTGCACGTTGCAGATCCAGCATGATAAATTCTGTAGGTGATTCCACGGTCTATTTCACGGCCACATAACTGGCCTATGGACCATAGACCTAACCCGACCAGCCAAGTCTTGGAGGATGATTTCGTGGTCCTTTA